ATGTCAAATTCACCCACAGTTTCTCTCGCCTCTCTTCTGTGCTCATTGGTTAACAACGTACAAGCCATATGATGCCTTCTATCAGCAGAAAAATTGCCAACCCTGGATGTCAAGAACTGCCTCAAACAAAGTTTCAGCCTCAACTCATTTCGCCCTGCCCTCAAAGCCTGAGGCTGGGAGCTCCGAGGTTTCCAGACATACTGACGAATACTAAAGGGGATAAATAGTCTCTAGTCACAAAATTCTGCCCTTTGTTCAAAACTGAGTGTGAACTGGGAAACTTAAGGTTGGAACCTCGGGCTAAACCTTTCATCACAACAGCAGAACTTTGTTCTCACCTTGTCTGGTCTCCCCCTCAGAGATTCAATTCCCACCCGCTCTCCACAGACCAGGAAGACAGCTCCTGGTCTCACCTGGACTCTTCTCTTTTTAGAAATGAAAGCAGGACAGAATCTTGACAAAGCTATAGATAATACATAAAGATACATAAAGATATAAAGTGAAAAGCACCTGCAAAATTCCCCACACGTACAAATAAGCACTGTTATCTTTTGATGTATTGATATATCCTGTTGCATATTTCCTATGTGTGTGTATACACATATGGGTATGTAAATATAATATACATAAATAAAAGACTTTTTAAAATTATTGTGCTATTTGCTAGCCTGTCTTCTTTTAAATAAAGCTGTATCCCAGACATCTTTCATCTTTATTGGTCCGTAAATATAAATTTACACCATCACTTTTAACAGTCACATAGCATTTCCTTGTATAGATCAATTATTATTTATTTAACCAATCCTCTATTGATTTACATTTAGGATGTTTCCTATTTGTCTCTGTGATCTGTTGATTCTAAAATCTGATCAAACACTGTCACCATCTGTGTAGTCTCAGATTAGAATAAAGGGCATCACCTCACCATCACCTCCTCTGTGCCCTTTGGACCATGGTGGGTTTGCTGGAGAGAGAATTAGAAAGTGACCAAGTTGATGAGACTTTAGAAATTCCAACTTATTACAAGAAGACTTGAATGAGGAAATGCAGGACTTAGCAAAATAGAGCACAAGTTTAAACGCAGTAGGGTTTGCAAATTTATCGTTATAACACCATTATATTCTAAAGTACAATTTATAAAAAGGACTAAACTTGGCTATCACTTCAAATACTGGGATGCATCCATCTATGTCATTTTCCTTCTTTCCCTCTCAAAAACACTGTTTCGGGTCTTCACTTACCTGAAAGCGTTGCTGTTTCTTGAAGGGTCACTGACGTCACCTCATCACTCCTTGTCGTTCTCAAGTAAAAATATTTCAGGTGGATCCACAAGAGTTATCAGTCTTCACATGTGTTCCACAGCATTGGTGAGCAGCATACACGCTACTGAAATGTCACCCGCTACCTGTTCAGTTAAAACCGTAAGCACCTTAGCAGAATTATCTTAGTATTCCTTTCGGAGGTTGGAAGTCGTATTGGCGTCTCGGGGCTGCCGGAACTAAGTACCTCAGGCTGGGTGGTTGAAACAGCAGGTGTTTATCTTCTCACACGTCTGAAGGCTAGAAGCCAGAGGTGAAGAGCGGGCAGGCTTGGCTTCTTCCGAGGCCTCTCCCTTGGGCTTGAACACAGCCATCTTCTCCCTGGGTGCCCACGTGGTCTTCCCTCTGTGTGTATCTCTGTGTCCTAGTTCCTCCCCTTATAAGGACACCAGTCCCAATGGACTAGGGTCCACCCTCATGACCTCATTTTAACTTAACTACCTCTTTAAGGATCCTATCTTCAAATACAGCCACATTCTGAGGTACTGGGGATTAGAGATTCAACATGGATTTGGGGGATGGGGGGGCACAATTCAGCCATCATAACAGATGAGATATAGTTCATGAGCAATGGGGTTAAAACTCAAAAGTTGAGGGTCTGGTCCCAGCTCAGACACGTACTATGATGTCACCCTGGACGAGTCCCTTAGCCTCCCCGGGTTTTGGCTTCCTTGGGGGGGGGGGTGGCAAAGCCCCTCACCAGTGGAGGGAGCCGGGCTGTCCTGAGGCCCCCATTACCTGCCCCAGAGGAGCAACTAGGGCACAGACCCCTTCACAAGACACGTTCTAGGGCTTGCCCACCTGGTCACCTTGAGAATCTGGCTGGGCAGCCCTCTCGGGAGCAGACCCTGTTGGCTGGGCTCAGAGAGCCTGGTGTATAGAAACCAGGAGAGGTCCTGGGACACGTAGAGGTCTGTCCCTGCTGGGCACACTCGCCTTGCGAGTCAAAGTGGCCACGAGAAGGACCTGTAGGGTGTTAAAAGTCAGAACAGAGGACCACTCCAGGAGCCTGCTGGAATGGTCCTCAGCTCTGACTGCTGCACCCGTGCTCATTATATGGCCATGCTAAGGGCATAGAGACTAAGTCCTCTCGTTAGAAAATCGCCAATGAGCAGCACACGGTGAGCAAATTCTGTATCTGCCCACCTTTCCTATCACAGGAAATTTAAGTCAATTGAAATAAAATAAAATTTAAAAGTCAGTTCCTCAGTCACAACTCACCCCATTTCAAGTGCTCAGTGACAACACGTGGCCACTGGCTACCATACCGGACAGTGTACATGTGGAACATTTCCATCAGTGCAGAAAATTCTACTGGGCAGAACTGCTATAGCCTATACAAAAAGTTCAACTGTTAGTTTCTAATTTTTCTATTCCATGACTCTGAACATGAGCACTGAATACATATTTCCTCAAGAAACATCTCTGGCATTCATGTTTTAAGTTACTGCACATGTAATATTAACATTAACAATACTAATAGTCTGTACTATATTACTTAGATGTACTTCACATATGTAATTCATTTAATTATTACAAGGACTCTATAATGTTAGTACTATTACTGTCCCAATTTTACAGATAAGTGAACTGATGCACAGAGAGGTTAATCTCTCCACCAAAGGTCACACAGCTATTAAGAGACAGAGTTGGTTTGAAACCCAGGATGTTTCTGAGGCTCTTACTGTGCAAGATGACATAAGTTGACCAACAGCTGGTCAACCTCGCCATGCCTGTTTGTTTAGTTAACTGTCACCTTCAGAGTCCTTCACTACCTCCTAAAAATATATATTAACTGAAGCTGGAAATGCCTCAGAACTTGGTTAGACTCTGAATCATAGTCGAGGGCTTATACGAGGAGCCACACAGCTCTAATTAGATTGTGACTGCGTTGGACTACATAGCTTCACGAAATTTACCACCTACACTTCGAGTCATCATAAACAGTTACAAGACATGGTAGACCCTCAAGACTCAGGGATTCCGGTTGTGCAAATTCACCTTCTTGCTAACATTTATTTGTGTCTCCAACATCAGTGCTCCCAGCGCCTTCACGGTGGTTGGCAGACCCACCCAGAGAGGTGAAGAATGTGTCACCGCCAGTACAGGTACCCAGCTGAGGATGACCGAGGTGACACTGCCTTCCTAGTTCAGCTCTCACACTGTGAGAAGTTTCCTTTCCACACTCTGTCTGGTACCATATTTTCAAAGTTTTGTGTTTCTTGTTGGTGATTTCACTGTTTCAAATGGTCCCCCAAGTGTCCTGCTAAAGTGCTATCTCGTGTTACTAAGTGCAGGACAGCTGTGACGGCTTTAACAATATATAACGAGGTATCTTTAAACTGTTGCCTACTGAGTATGAAACATCCAGGTGGCCTTGCTGGCCTCTGTCCAGAAGTGACTTCTTTCTCTCAGTAACATTTTATACACATACCCTTCTGGTAGTTACCAAAAACTTTCATATATACTTAATGTATATGTGTGATCTCCTTACTGGTAGATTGCAAACTTGATGACAGGAGGTACGGTGTGTAATTTATTTTTATAAGCTCTTATAGCGCCCATCTAGCACAAAGCCTTGTGTGTAGTTGGTGCTTAATTCATGTAATGCGTTAAAGAATGGATGGATGGATGGATGGATGGACGAACAGACGGCTTCCAGCAGTCTCAGAGATGTGAGGTAAAAGACAGAAACATGAAAAATGGATCCCAAGTAATAGAATTCTGATCTGAAATTTGCTACCGGGAAACATGAGTCCTGCTTTGTTTTATGTTCGCTTAAATGTATAAGCTGACGGTCTTTCAGAGAATTTATCAAACATGCAAAGAAGAAAAAGAGTCAAATTATGAAGCAACATGGATTAATGTAGCTGCTCGGAAACATTTCTACTTATGAAACACATTAGAGGTGATGTGACATAATTAGCAGTGTTAATCGTACTAAAGGTGATTTCTATGGTAACTCAGCACATCAATTCTGTGTACATTATTAATTCAGGAGATAATTTTTCAGGCTACAAACTCATAGCTTGTAAAAATTAAAATATCCATTAAGTAACTCCATTACCTCTGCTATGTAATCACTGGGTCTCCTGAAGGATTGATGTTCACTCTTATTAGTGATTCTCGCTTGTCTTCACCCTCCTAGCAGGACAAGCCCCTCTCCAGTAGGACTATACACTTAATAGTAATTATCATTGCAGATATCATGGTTGATCTGACTGGTCTGTAGGAAATGAGCTGCTCATCTTTGGGGATCAATTGTCATTTAATACATCAGAAAAGCAATTAGCTAAGTAGTAACCTAATATTCTGTGACTACCCATCTACCTCTAAAAGGTAGCTAGTTTATTCCCAGTTGACTCATGAAACAAGCCCTAAGGTTATTGCTAAGTATTATTTACAGGGAGAAATCCTTACCTTTCCCAGCGATTAAATACCTTGCCATTCTTTAGTGTCAAAGATAATATTTCAAATTAATGTAGTCCCCCCAAATTCCCTTATCTCCTTCCCCACACAGCACTTTCAGAATATCTGGGCTTGATTTTTTACGTCTTTGATCTTCCTAGCTTCTCTGAGCCTCTACTCTTATCAATAAAATAATCTTACCAGGATACTGCGCATTTATGAGATAATATTGATGTGACTAAAGGCCACATATAGCTTATCAATAAACGTTACCTGGGCTAACGGATTGTGAGATTGACACACGTTCCTGCACGGAAGCTATGCTGTTCTCCTGTCCAAGCGAGCCAATGGGATTTTTCAGTTTCCGATTTCTATGTGAAGCACAAAGCACAAAATCTTCTAGCATCCTCTGGTTCCACAAGGATCAACTCAGCCTCTTCATTTGGTATTGACAGTCTCCTTTCACTGCCAAGGTCACACATAAAATAGCAAGTCAGCTAAAGCGTGAGAAAACTAAGGGTGGTGCACAAAGAAAGGGCCGAGGAAAGGAACATGGAGCCTGCTCTGTTCAACCTCCTTGCAGGTTGTCACGTTTCTGATCTCTGCCTGAACCTGTTCCATTTCGTTATTCTTTAATATCCAGTCCTGGGACTCTGGTCTTGCCGCGTTTTATAATAAACCAAGTTGCACTTATCTTGATCCATTCTGAAAATATTGATCAAGCTGCTGCTTTGGGCCAGGCTTGGGGTGGATATGGGTCCTGCCCTCCAGAAGCTATACCAGTTGGAGGGAAGAGCATCGTGGTAAACAGATCAGCAAGAACACAGTACAGACCTGTTGCTTCTAGCCAAGGGCTCACTCCACCCACAGCCTGAGTGAAGCCTGGTAAAGCCAGACATTTGCCAGCTTCATAATTAATCCTGCCTGCCTCCACCCAGCTCTTCCTCGCTGGCCTCTGCACTCCTCGACACCCTCCCGTTTCCTCCCGGAACCTCTTGCATCAGCTTGTCAGGGACCCCCTCAGCTGTATCACTGGCTCTGGAGCACATGGCCTGCTTGTGTGTTCAGTGCCTGGGCTTGGGTCAGCGTTCAGAACCCTCCTCTTGACCTTCCCCAGAGCTCCTTGCCCCCATGACCCCTTCCTCTGGGTGGAGGTTCTCAAAGATGCTCCACAAACACTTGGTGGTGCCAGAGCCCTTCGAGGTGTGCGCAAGGTCAAGATGTTTCGGGATAACATTTAGACCTTTCCCACCGCAGGGACATTCGCAGTGATGGGGCAAAGTGATGATGGGTAAAATTGCTGGTGCTTAGCATGAATCAAGGCAGCAACACCAAACTCTGCCAGACGTCACTGAATTCATCACCGCCGCTTTTTTAAAAAAAAAAGCCAGAGCTACCTAAGGAGCCTGGCTACCAAGACGGCCTCCTGGAGCAATGCCACTTCATTTTTGCAGGGCCATCTGGCTAGGTCTGGACTGGGATGTGAGTGAGAAATAAACTCCTAGATTATTGAAACAACTTTTTCATGTGTCTTTTGTTACAATATGGCTTGTACCAAAATTAATGCATAGTTGAGGACAAGTTCTTAATAGCTACATTTGTTTCTACTGTATTCAGAGGTTTGGATCTCAGAATTTCAAGGGCTAATCCATGATCAGGAAGCAAAATCAATGACTGTTAGGCCCTATCTCAAAGTGCTGGGAGGCTGTGATTTGCCATTATTCTTCCCCAAGTTGGGAGTGTCAAGGCTCTGGGCCCACTAACTTCACCATAACTAGACACTTTTCCAAGAGATACCTCTGCACTTCTTTGCGGCATCTTCTTGCCAGACAGTTTGCCAAATGCTTCAGAGAATGTGAAATGTAAGAAATTATTAGGGGGCTTCCCTGGTGGCACAGTGGTTGAGAATCCGCCTGCCAATGCAGGGGACACAGGTTCGAGCCCTGGTCTGGGAAGGCCCCACATGCCACGGAGCAACTAAGCCCATGCGCCACAACTACTGATCCTGCACTCTAGAACCTGCGAGCCACAACTACTGAGCCAGCGTGCCACAACTACTGAAGCCCGCACGCCTAGAGCCCGTGCTCTGCAACAAGACAAGCCACCACAATGAGAAGGCCGCGCATCGCAACAAATAGTAGCCCCTGCTTGCCGCAACTAGAGAAAGCCCACACACAGCAATGAAGACTCAATGCAGCCAAAAATAAATAAATTTATTAAAAAAAGAAATTATTAGGAAATCCTTAGAGTGTATTACAGTGAAGGTACTCATAATTTTTTATCCATTTCTAAAACTCTAAATCTGGGGATTTAATTTAAGGGATTACTTAATTTTAAAAGTGGGAAAAGTGTTATACAGATACCTATATATTATTTTAATATTTTTAACAAGAAAAATTGCAAACAAATGTCCCATAATTGAATGATGACCAAGTAAATTATGGTGTAGCCTCTCTCTGGTTTTTTAATTAATATGTCAAGAATTATAAGCATGAAGAATATAGAAACATGTAATAATATGCCTAATACAAAGGTAAGTCAGGAAAACAGAATAAAAGTTTTACTTCTACTATGATTTTAAGTATGAAAAATAACACATCCATTAGGACAAGAAGCAGCAAAGAAACAGAAAACTAGGAGGATATGGGTTACCGGGCTGGGGCTGATACTCTGATGATGCTGTTTGCTCTTTTTTTTTTTTAAATATAAATTTATTTATTTATTTTTGGCTGCATTGGGTCTTTGTTGCTGCACGTGGGCTTTCTCTAGTTGCCACGAGCGGGAGTTACTCTTCGTTGCGGTGCGCGGGCTTCTCATTGTGGTGGTTTCTCTTGTTGAGGAGCATGGGCTCTAGGCGTGCAGGCTTCAGTAGTTGTGGCTCGCGGGCTCAGTAGTTGTGGCTCGCAGGCTCTAGAGCACAGGCTCAGTAGTTGTGGCGCACGGGCTTAGTTGCTCCGCGGCATGTGGAATCATCCGGACCAGGGCTCGAACCCATGTCCCCTGCATTGGCAGGAGGATTCTTTGCCACTGTGCCACCAGGGAAGCCCCTGTTTGCTCTTTTAAATTGTCCATGACTGTTGCTTTGGTACTATTTGAGCAAAAAATGGTTTTTCTTTTTCTTTTTTTTTTTTTTTTTTGGGATACGCGGGCCTCTTACTGTTGTGGCCTCTGCCGTTGCGGAGCACAGGCTCTGGACGCGCAGGCTCAGCAGCCATGGCTCACGGGCCGAGCCGCTCCGCGGCATGTGGGATCTTCCCAGACCGGGGCACGAACCCGTGTCCCCTGCATCGGCAGGCGGACTCTCAACCACTGCGCCACCAGGGAAGCCGGTTTTTCTTTTTAATTTTCTTCCTTTTTCCATTTCTCTTCAAAGCTTATGGGGATAGAACATGCTTGCTGGTTAGCACAACACCTGTGGCACACAGCACCCTTCCCAATGTCCCCAGCCAGGTGACAATACACAGCCAGGTGGGAGCCCTTCCATGGCTTTGTCCATGTTTACACAAACAATGCACACCTAGAGTCGCGTTTTAGGGAAGCTTTGTTTTTGATACTTGCTTTTATGAAAAAAGAAAAAGATGATGATAAATGGATCACCCTGCTATGTTTTTCATGCTTAATGGTACATTCTTGATATCTCTTTAAATCATTCTTTTCTTTTAATAGCTGTATAGTAATGTATTGACTATTTTCAAACAAAAATAAAATAAAAGGCATTGCCCTCCCATTACTCGTTTTGCTGCCTCACCCCTGCCACAGTATCTTGAGCGAATTCCCCGAAGTGCCCAGTCTCTTGACCTGCTCGTGACCTTTGCAGTACTCACATCAGTAGCTCTGGTGCAGCTGCAGGATCTGTGTAACCAAGCGGGAATGTTCAGCCCAGACACAGAGACTCAGGGCAGCTTTCCCCTCCCGAGACCCCGGAGAGACGTCCAAGGATGTCTTCACCTGCTAATGAGTTGTCCGCTCTGTGCTGTGACAATTCTGCCACAGTGCAGCGTCCTCGCTACTGATTTCATCTCTAGAACACACTGCACAGATCTGGGGAGAATTTTCATGGCATCAGTAACTTATTTTTCTTATCTTCTTCCAATTTAAGATAGAGGTCTTTGATGATGTGTAGATGAACGTCCTTCCATCAAAATCAAATAATTCATAAAGTCAACTTCACAAACAGGTGATATAAGGTAATTTAGGGAAAACTACAAGATTCAATGTGTGCTTTTAACAGCTCAAACTTGGCTATCTCTGAAATTTTGCAATTGCTTGATGAAATGGTTCAAAAGATCGTCTCTCCGATATTTCACTTACTGAGTAGTTTTGTCTTTCCCCATCACTTTGTCCATCACAGTTTATCAGGTCTTCAAATACACCTTGTCTGTACATACAGACACCCTCCTTAGGACACTTTCCTTTGCCAGTGAAATATCTGATTTGATTATAAAACACTTCTTTCTTCTTGCTATCACGTGTCCTTCTGAACTGATAGCATGTGAGTTAATCGACTGGGTGGACGTGAAGATGAAAGCCCAGATAGTTAGAGAGTAGATTAATCATTTGTCTTACAGTCAGTTCATGAACTCAAAGCCTTCTGGATAATGTATCATATGAAGTCATTCTCCTGAGACCAACATGAACAGAGAGAAAGCAAGAGAAGTAAGACAGAAATATACATACACTGTCTGTTTCTAAAGCAGAAAAAAAGCTGAAAAGGTTTTGACTAAAGGCTTTAAACTGTCTGGGCACAAAAGACAATACTTTGTAGAGTCATTGATCCAGAAGAGAGTTGGCAGAGAATACAAAAGATTACAGTATAACACCACATGGAGAACAACCAGGTTCCTTTGATCCACAGAGAACTCCACACAAGAAAGATCTAAGGTTGTTGAGGGGGTGGGCCTTTGGCTTGCTTCTAACAAACAGAGCATGGGAAAGGTGAAGTGTCCATCAATAGATGAATGGATAAAGAAGATGTGGTACATATATATACAATGGAATATTACTCAGCCATGAAAAGGATGAAGGTTTAGCCATTTGCAATGACATGGATGGACCTAGAGATTAACATACTAAGTGAAGCAAGTCAGACAGAGAAAGAAATACTACATGGTATCACTAATATATGCAATCTAAAAAATAATACAAATAAACTTATTTACAAACCAGAAACAGACTCACAGACATAGAAACCAAACTTACGGTTACCAAAGGGGAAGGGGGGAGAGGGAATAAATTAGGAGTATGGGATCAACAGATACACACTACTATATATGAAATAGATAAGTAAGGATTTACTGGATAGCAAAGGAAACCCTATTCAGTATCTTGTAACAGCCTATAATGGAAAATAATACATAGATAGACAGATAGATATAGATATAGGTATAACTGAATCACTTTGCTGTATACCTGAAACTAACACAACATTGTAAATCAACTGTAGTTCAATAATAAATAAGTGAACATAAAGGTCCAGCATGGAGTTACAGACATGAAGCAGCCGCCAGGTCACGCAAAGTCTTGTGTGCGATGCTTGAGAAACAAGACTTTACGCTAAAGAGGTTTTAAGTAGGGTGGCGACAAGCTGACTTTTGTTCTCAGTTATTTGCTCTGATGGCAGACAAAGTAAGAAACGCTGGTACTGAAGACAGAGGACAGTGGAGTGTTCTGAGATGCGTTTAAGAGATGAAGTAAACAGCACTCAGCAACTGATGGCTGTTACGTGAAAACGTCAAATCTATTCCCCACGCCGTTCCTCGGCTTGTCTAGACAGAGGATGGGGCCACCCATCTGAGAGCCAGAATACGAAAGGAGCTAGTTTAGGTGACTCGTGGACATGCTGAACTTGAGGATTATCCTTCATCCTCAAGGACGGGATATCCAGCAGTCAGGACACATATGAGCTAGGCCTGGGGAAGCAGAGGCTGATTTGAAATCATTAACTTCCAAGCCATGACAACAACTGCAATTATCCCAAGAGAGTTTGTGTGAGTAGGAGAGCTTTGAGCCAGGAATGGAACCACTGGGAACACCATGATCATCTCTAATATTTATTGCCACTTGCTGTGTGGCTGTGCTATGTATGAGCTTTAACTATCTTTGTTTTTTTCATTTTTACATCTTTATTGGGGTATAATTGCTTTACAATGGTGTGCTAGTTTCTGCTTTATAACAAAGTGAATCAGTTATACATATACATATGTTCCCATA